AACTCACATCCGTTGAGTAGGTGATGCCATCCAACCACCTCATCCTCTGTCGTCCCCTTCTCCTCCTGCCTTCAATCTTTTCCCAGCATCAGGGTCTTTTCCAATGAGTCACTTCCTTGCAACAGGAGGCCAAAGTACTAGAGTTTCAGCTTCAGCATCACCCCTTCCAATGAATATTCAGTACTAATTTCCTTTAGGATGGACTGGTTGGATCTCCTGGCAGTCCAAGAGGCTCTCAAGAGTCTTCTCCAACACCACAGTTCAAAAGCATTAATTCTTTGGCGCTCAGTCTTCTTTATAGTCCAACTCTCACATCTATACATGACTCTGGAAAAACCATAGCTTTGACTAGATGAACTTTTGTCGGCAAAGTAATGTCTCTTTGTAAGTTTATTTGCATCATTTCTTTTTGAATTCCAACAAAAAGGATGTCATATGATGCTTCTCTTTCTCTGTCTGACTTACTTCACTCAATATGACAATCTCTTGGTCCATTCACGTTGTTGCAAATGGCATTATATCATCCTTTTTAAAGGCTGAGTAATATTAATGGACACATCTTCTTTTTCCATTCCTCTGTTTATGGACATTTAGGTTGCTTCCATGTGTTAGCTATCATAAACAGTGCTGCAATGAACATTGAGGTGCATGTATCTTTTCAGATTCTGTTTCTTTCTGGATTTTTTCCCAGGAGTGGGATTGCAGGGTCATATGGTTGCTCTATTTTTAGTTTTTTAAGGAAGCTCCATATTGTTCTCCATAGTGGCTGTACCAATTTATACTCCAACCAACAGTGTAACGAGGGTTTCCTTATCTCCACAGTCCCTCCAGCATTTATGGCTTGTGGATTTTTGATGATAGCCATTCTGGTTGGTGTGAAGAGATATCTCATTATGGTTTTGATTTGCATTTCTCTAGTAATTAGCTGACATAAAGTTCTTGATTTCAATGATGTGTGTAGTGAATCTTCCAATGACATAATTTCAAATAAAAACAATTGGCAGGTAGGGAAGAAAATGAGAATGAAATTAAATATGTAGAATAGCAACAGTGTTTATCTTTATTATTCTAACTGTGTGCGCTTATAAACATTAGTAAATTTCTTTAGGTCTGTTTCTTAATTGGTTAAAAAGTTAAGCACATGAGATGATTTATTCTGAGCTGATTTCCTGCTCTAAAATTCAAAGATTCTAAAGTTCAACTAATTTGATGTCAGTATATAAGGAGACTTTAGTAAACTACAAGAAGACCTGGGTTTTTTTGCACAGTTCAGAATTTTTACCATAGACAGATGAAGATAGTGAAGGTTTGCTTATATAATTTACAGATAGCACAAACCTGGATTGGATGTAGTGCAGAAACAGGATTCAAAATAGAGTCTTAAGAGGCTGGGCCTTATAGATTGCTTTTGTATTCAAATGAGAAAATCTAATTTAGAGGCAGTGTATATGTGTGAAAAAGAAAGGTTGTTGTTTATTTGCTCAGTCATGTCTGACATTTTTGGGACCCCATGGACTGTAGCCCACCAGGCTTCTCTGTCCACGGGATTCTCCAGGCAAGAATACTGGAGTGGGTTGCCGTTTCTTCTCTAGGGATCTTCCCAACCCCAGAGATAGAACCTGTCTCCTGCATTGGCAGGTACATTCTTTACCTCTGAGCCACCAGGAAGAAACAGTATCTAGTACCTCAAATTTAGTATGAGCCTACAGTGTAACATGAATATGTATATGCGTGTGTGGGGGTGGTGAGAGAGAGAGAGAGACAATCGCACCATATTGTCAGTATATAAGAAGAGCATTAAAAGATCGTATTGCTGTTGTTGTTCAGTCATTCAGTCATTCTGATTCTTTGCAACCCCGTGGACTACAATACACCAGGCTTCCCTGTCTTTCACCATCTCCCTGAGTTTGCTCAAACTCGAGTCCATTGAGTCGATGATACCATCCAACCATCTCATCCTCTGACGTCCCCTTCTCCTCCTGCCTTCAATCTTTTCCCAGCATCAGGATCTTTTCCAGTGAGTCAGTTCTTTGCATCATGTGGCCAAAGTATTGGAGCTTCAGCTTCAGCATCAGTCCTTCCAATGAATATTCAGGGTTGATTTCCTTGCTGTCCAAGGGACTCTCAGGAGTCTTCTCCAGCACCACAGTTTGAAAGCATCAATTATTTGGTGCTCAGCCTTCTTTATGGTCCAACTCTCACATCTGTACATGACTACTGGAAAAACCATAGCTTTGACTATACAGACCTTTGTCAGCAAAGCGATGTCTCTGCTTTTTAATATGCTGTCAAGGTTTGTCATAGCTTTTCTTCCAAGGAGCAAGCATCTTTTAATTTCATGCCTTCAGTCACTGTCTGCAGTGATTTTGGAGCCCAAGAAACTAAAGTCTGTCATAGTTCATTCTAAGGAGGCAATAAGGAACATATTCTTCATTGCCTCCTTAGAAGTAAATCTCTTCCCATTCATCCTTTACCTTTAGACTACTCAGCGCTAATGAACCTCACTTTCTTAGCTCTGATGACCTAATGACATTCACCTCCAATCCACTTAATCCATCAATTGCTCCTTATGTTGGTATTTCCCACTATCCTGCACTGCTCTATCATGAAGATTTTAAACTCTGAAATTCCAATTGCATTGTCAAATTTCTAAACATGGTCTATCAGTGCCTCTAATATAACATGATTAGTACTAAATTTATCTTATCCAAACCTGTTCACTGCTTGGTTTTTCATATTTCTGTTAACAGTGCCATGACATGCTTATTAGCTGATGTTGATAACCTCTAAGTCATCACTCTCCTAAGTTTAAACGCTCCTTCTTCACCATACTTCATACTCCCATTATCCACTTTCTGAACAATAACAATAGCATTTTAATGCAACTCCTTTCTTCCTTCTTCACATTGTAACAAATCATTCCCAATGCTCTCCTATTAGTCTTCCCAGTGCCTACCTCTGATCCTGGTATTTACTTACTGAAAAGCCTTGCTGACTCCTTTTCTGACTAAACAGAAACTAAATCCTACAGTGTGTTACACAAAACTTTTGGTAAACTGCCCCTTATCTCTTTTCCAGCATTATTTCCAACAACTTCATAAATCAGCCCTCTGCTTCAATCTGTTCTACCCAAATAATTTGATGCTTCTCAGTCCCTCAATTTTTCTATTGCTCTTCTGTTTTCAAGCCCTGCTTCCCTGTTCTGCCTTGTAACCTGCTCTAACCTTCCCTCCTGAGTTAAAAAAGTAAATGTATCCTCCCCCAAACTTCTATATCACTTCTTATCTTGTTACTTTTACCTCTCACTCATATTTTCATATAAATGCATACATTTGGCTGACTTTTCATAACAAAGTACATAATATACTGAGACCTTACATTATACATCCTTGTATTAGTCTTTCATCCAATGATTTGAAATGTTTATTGAGCATCTCACATGTGCTAGGTGATACAGATCAGCAATGACCAAGAGGAATTTGTCTATACTCTTTTGGGGCTTAGTTTACAAATGCTAAACTTATTGGTAAATAAGTGGTGAATCAGTAGTTGATAAATTAGAATGATGAAAAATACTAAAAATAAAAAGTATACAATGCAGTACCAATATATAGAAAGTGAACATATGATACTGTTTTCAAAATGGAGCCATATTCAGTCTAGCCTAAAAGTATGTGCTAGTCTGTGTGTGTGTGTGTGTGTGAAGTCATTCAGTCATGTCCGACTCTTTGCGACCCCATGGACTGTAGCCTACCAGGCTCCTCCGTCCATGGGATTCTCCAGGCAAGAGTACTAAAGTGGGTTGCCATTTCCTTCTCCATGTGCTAGTCTAGAAGACATTATTTTTCTTGATTTACAGCATGATCCAGTTACTATGAGTAAAGACCATAATATCTGAGCGGCAAAATAGGAAACTAAATTCCCATTCTTGGGCAAACATAAGTGACTAGTTTAGTGACAAACCTAAGGTAGACATACAGTATGGCCTTTTTCTTCCTGATGTTTTACTCTAGAGCAGCTATTTTCTGCTTTTACGAATTGCACGGAGCCATCAATTATGGCCAGTAATCTCCAACAAAATACGAAGAGCAAAAATATAAAGAAGCAAGTGATTCATCACTGAGCCTGAGGCCAGCTGTAAGGGGAAAAGCCCTTTCTGGCTTGGAGCTAGCAGGCACAATAGCACATTATTCCTGAAGGAGCTATGGTTTGAAATTTCTGAATGGGCTTACCACCAGTCTCAGCTGGCAGCCTACTCCCCATGCATAGGCAGGTAAACTCTTCAAATACACTTTTTTTTCTTTTCAGTATGGAGACTGTTTCTGGTATTTCTATATTCATCAAAAAACAAGGTGAGATTTTACTTTTGTTTTCTTCCACTGAATTCACACTTCTAACTCTGAGAGTATAAAATTCCCTCCAACTCTCTTAAGCAAGGGCTTTCTCTTTCTCAGACATAAGGCACCTTATCTTTTTCGGCACCTCTGACTGTCAGTACGAGTTCTGAGAATAACAAATTACAGGCGATAGACATCTAAATGGAAGCAAGAAGGCCACCATCACAGCCACTTTTGTAATGTGGCATGTGGGTGAAAGAAGGGACACTAGGACAGAAGGCAACATTCTAGGTAGAGACTGTCCTACTGGGAATGAGACGGACTGAAAGAATTAACCATACAAAAGGTAACTAAGGAGGACTAGCTATTGTATGGCCCAGAATTGAAACAAAAATGCAGTGAACTAATGAAAGCCATTGTTGTTGTGTCCTCTAATTAACTGTCTTTTAAACATGCTTAAGGACAATGAAGAACACACAAGGCACAGAGGAAATTTTTCACAATGAACCCTGAACGTTGCCTCTGCAGCAAGAGGTAAATGAGGACAGAAGAATGAAATATGCTTCTTCATGAATTTCCCCCGTTTTCTTCGTGAAAAAATTTTTTGTGGCAAGCAAATTGGAGACATTGTCGAAGAACAGTTCCTCTTCACACAAAGGTTACCTTTATAACTGCCAGTCAGTGCCCTCGTGGTTCACCTGCCAAGTAAGTGCCAGGCGTGGAATCTATACTGTGGCAGGAGTGGAGGCAGGCAGGCCTGGCTCTCCCACCCTCCTTATGAATCACCGTTCTTTGCTCCTTTGTACCCGAGTTGCCACTTTTCCCACTCTCTGCCTCCCTTCTCATTGGAGGGGGTCTCTTCCCTCACACAGGAGCTGAATGTTCCGTTGTTGCCAGGAAGCCAGGCTTACTGAATGCTGATTTCAAGGAAGTCGCACAAGAGAGGCAAACAGTAACCTTCTGAATAATCTGCATGAAAAGTGACTTTACAAGACATAAAGTGTCCAGTTTGGCTGATGATGCCTCGTTTGTGCTACTTTAAAGGAGTGGAGGTATATACATATATATGTAATACTATATATATATATAATATATATGCTGTATATACATAGATTTTTTCCTTTAATATATACACATGTACACATATGGTTTTGTCTCCATTTTGGGTTGAGTGCTTTAAATGGATCTGTCTTTTTTATCCAATGACTTTTCTTTTTTTTAAAGATCCCCGAAAAGTGCAAGTTTAAATTAGTTGTTCTATTTTTAAAATCCCTAGTATATTCCAGAGGGTGTTGCATATATATGTACGTATATATGACACTTAATATTCAATTTCTGGGGTCTGATATGGTAGAAAGGTATACTTTATTTCCTTTATTTTAACATCTAAGATGACAGGGGCTATTCAAAACAAGCAAATAAGTGCTCCATAAAAGATATTCTCCTAATATAAAAGGTGTCTCCATAATCATTACTTTCTGTAGTTCTCAAAAATAAAAATTTTTACAATATGTCATCTCAAACTATGCCCCACTGTCATTTACTCAAGCTACTTTTAAGCCGAGACTTTACAGGAATTAAAAGGAGATTAGGTAATCACTTATAGTAAACTGTATCTTTATTTACTCTAAACAGCTTTATATGGTGAACTGTCACTTACCTTGTGACTTGATAAACTCACAGGGAAAACACTGCTTGACAGTATGATTTGTTTTTATAAAGCAGAGGGAAGGATTTCAGGGTTATGTTCTGAATAGTAAATGGTCATAAATACAATTCTTCAAAGGCCTGGAAAACACAGAGATTGCTTATAATAAAAACCATCTCCTAGTATACCTTAAATAGCAATTAATTATCTATATTGTGCTGACACGCACATTACATTTAATTTTTTCTCCCTGGTGCCATACATCTTCATAATGATGAAGAAACTAAAACTACCATATGTTATATGCTTCCAGATTTATGACAATTACAAAAAAGAAGAAGCAGAGTAAGCTAATTTCACAAAAGAGAGAAATATATTTATTGAAAAATTCAGTACCTAGCTGACAATGATTTGCAAACTGTGACCGGAGAGCTCCTAAGAAATGAAAGATCCATGTTAGTAATGTGATTGCACTTAAGACATTTTTCATATGTTGTTTTCCATTTTTCCACTGTTTTCACTAGTAAAACCAATAGAAGTCATTGAAGTTAAATCTAATAGGAAATCTGATCACTCAGAATCAGTAATGGTAAATAGAGATTCACTGCAAATCCTCCTGCTCAATCAGCCCAGATCTACAAGCATCTAAGAGCTGTTTGGCACTCTGTTAGCAATTTTGGCAGAAATTCAGAAGATTGAATGGAGAAGAATTCTTAATGACTTCCTAACATTTAGGTGGGGGGCTCTTTCCAGAAGGAGACTGAAACACAAGATTTGTAATTACAGAATGAGGGAACTGGGTACATTGAGGCTTCTCCTCAGGATGGAAATATAGGAAGTCAGTTCTCAGCAGAAATGAGATTCTGCCATAAGATTCAAATAACAACAGAGGAGTTCTCAATATGCATTTAAAATATTAGTTTCCTTTGAACAAAAAGCATTTATTCATGATGGTTGTCTACTGAGACTCCTTCAGACATTGAAAGGCAGCTATGTGGCTTTCTTGAGTCTTCTCAGGTCTAGGATATGAATTTTTTTTTGTAATCAATTTCATATTTGACATTTGGTCCTAATGCTATGGATCTCTCAGTTCAGTTCAGTTCAGTCATTCAGTCGTGTCCAACTCTTTGCGACCCCATGAATCGCAGCATGCCAGGCCTCCCTGTCCATCACAAACTCCCGGAGTTTACTCAAACTCATGCCCATTGAGTCGGTGATGCCATCCAACCATCTCATCCTCTGTCATCCCCTTCTCCTCCTGCCCCCA